ATAAATTATATATTATTATTATTATATCAGCTCAGTCCTCCCACCCATCAGCATCTCCTCAAGACTCATCTTGCCATGACCATTCTGCACCAGCGGACACTGCACTCTGCTCAGCAGCGTTCTTTGCTGTAATCAGTATTTCCTCACTTGCACATTATTTACAACCCGCTGGTCGATTGGTTTCTGCTCTGTGTTACACAGCCACTGCACTTCTGACATATGCTTGGCTTGCTGTGGTTTTCTCATATTTGTTATTTTACCTTTTTCTGTTGCATTGGAATTTTTTCTTTTTTTAATTTAATTCATGTGTTGTTGCGTATTTTATAAGTCACTCTGGATAAGGGTGTTGGGTAAGCATATAAATAATAAGAATATCCCACTGTGTTGTTAACACCAATTCCCTGGAATCTATAAGAAATTGCAGGATGGGATGTGTGGATTAAGAAGATAATCAAACAAGCACAAGGGGTTAATGAGCTCCTTCTACCCCTTTGTAAGAGGGTGGTCAGAGGAAGCAAGATGGCGGTTCTTAGATGGACCAAATTTCCCAGAAGGCAATGGGAAATGACCTGCCATCCTCTGTCATCTGCCCAATTGGAGGAAGATAATTGTGTGGGTGACATTTAAAAACCAGGAAGCTTCCAGTGTTAATCAACATCTGTTGTTCAAAGAAAGGAGCAGTTATATTATGCATATGTTATGCAGTTGTATGACATGGAGAGAAGGAAGTGTCTGTCTGATTGACTGGCTGACAGAGGAACTTGGGGCTTTATTGAACAGTGAATTTTGAATCTGAGAGTTTGTTTTGAAGCTTGTAAGCTGCTTAGTTGTCTGTCTATATTATTACAAAAGGGACATGGAATTCCAGCTTTTAGTTCAAAGAGGAGCTTAGATTTTGCTTTCTGTTTTATATATTATTTTCCTCAGACTGTAAATAATGCATATATTTGTGAATCGATCTGTTGTGATACGGTCAGGGATTACAAGGACAAGATTTAACAGCTGAGTTACAAATATATTAACTATAACGTCATCAGCCTTAAATCACATTTGAATTCTCACATATCAATATGCAATTATTACAATAA